ACCTGTTGATTTCTTTTTTTTAGTTTATTTGTTATTTTTTGTCTTTTTGAGACAGGGTCTCGCTATGCAGTTCAGGCTGCCCTTGAGCTCACTTTGTAGCCCAGGTTGGTCTTGAACTCACAAAGATCCTCCTGCCTCAGCCTTCCGAGTGCTGGGATTACAGGTGTGCGCCACCACATCTGGCTATCTTTTTTTGTTTGTTCAAGTGTTTTATTGTGAAATATTTTGAACTTAACTGCAAAAATAGTACAAAGAAGCCTCGTATGCCCTTCATCCTAGCAGTCCCGACTACAGATGCTTCACTATGTTTGCTATCCATTTATGTTTTTTCTGAAGTATTTAAAAAATGTAGAAGTGTTGAGTCTTTAACCATAATCACATCACTATGTTTTCTAACAAGGACATTCTTGCTGGAGGTGGTGGTGCAGACCTGTAATCCCAGTACTCTGGGAGGCTGTGGCAGGAGGATCGAAAGCTCAGTCCCCACCTGGGTAATTTGGTGAGATCATGCCTCAAAATAAAAAATATGAAAAACAGCTGGGGCTGTAGCTCAGTAAGAAGGCCTTTGGTTCAATCTCTAGTACTACACACACAAGGACATTTTTTCTTTTTTATAACCATAGTAAGATGATCAGAATCAGAAAATTAATGATTTTGTCAATTGTCTCAGTACGATCTTTATAGCAAAAGAATCTTCTGGTCCACAGTCTGGTAGGGGGGGTTCACACCATGTGCCTCACCTGCCTTCTTTCATCAGTAATAGTTCCTTAGCTGTTCTTTGTCTTTCACAAGCCTGACATTTTGACACAAGTTCCTCCTCCATTTGTCTGATTAGATTTGGGTTATGCATTTTTGGTCCAAACATGCAAGAATTTGTAATTGCAAACATACAATGAATCATGTTATACTTTAAAGTTTTTCGCCGGGCGTGGTGGCGCATGCCTCTAATCCCAGCACTTGGGAGGCTGAGGCAGGAGGATCGTTGTGAGTTCAAGACCAGCCTGGGCTACAAAGTAAGCTCAAGGCCAGCCTGAGCTGCATATTGAGACCCTGTCTCAAAAAGACAAAAAAAATTTTTTTCATCTCAAACAAAAAGGTGAGTGATCAAAGGGATCGAGCTGGGAGCAAACCCAGGAGCAGGTGGCATCAGGGGAGGTTGGTGAGGAAAGTGAGACCCACTGTAGCCTTGGGAGGGGGCTGGGGCCAGGTAAGAGCAGTGTGGGTGCGAGACTACAGGTGCACAGGGTGCAGGATGCCGTGGAAGGCAGCGTGGGACCCACTCTGCTGCCTACCAGCTGTGACCTCTCCCTACCAGCCACAGAAGGTTCTTATTACTTCTTTGTAGCTCAGTTTCTTCAACTATCAAATAGAAACATTATTGTGAGGACTGAGTCAGGGGCACCTAGGCTTTAGGGGAGCATTATGTATTATTAGCCAGTGTCCTATGGGCTGGTGGAGGGAGGGGGATGGTTGGAAGTCTCCCCAGATCATGCCTGGTGCATGACCACATGTGTCGGGGTGTCTGGCAGAAGGGACCCCTGACCCAGGGAGTCTGGTTTGGGGGTGGCTGTCACAGAGAGGAGGCTGGAAGGATGACAGTCTCCAGGACGGACTGGCATAGCAGGTGCCAAGCCCTCCTGTCACTGCCGCTCCACCCTTCCCAGCTCCTCTCCCCTCCTCCCCATGTCCCCAACCTTTCCCCTAAGCCATCCCAGGATGGAGGCGGGACGCTGCCCTCCAAACTCTTCTACCCTTGCACCAGGCACCTGGCGTCCCCGCAGATCGATCATGTTCGCCAGTTGGGGGGCAGAGGAGTTTGGGCTCATTGGCTCCACGGAATTCACAGAGGTGAGTGAGCCCCACAGGGTCGGGGGCGGAAAGGGAATTCCAGGCAGGGCAGCACCGAACTGAGGCATCTCCGCCCCGGCCGCAGGAGTTCTTCAGCAAGCTGCAGGAGCGCACGGTGGCCTACATCAACGTGGACATCTCGGTGTTCGGTAAGGGGCGGACGCTGGGCGGTACTAGCCTGGGGCGGGTAAAGGGAGGAGCTGGGTTCCATAGTCTTTCTCTGTTCCTTTCACAGCCAATGCTACCCTTAGGGGGCAGGGGACGCCCCCTGTCCAGAATGTCATTTTCTCTGCAGCCAAAGAGGTGCAAGGGGAGGGCGAGGCTACATGGGATGGGTGGGGCAGATTCCCGAGTGGGCGGGGCTATAGGGTGGGCGGGACCAGGGCCACCTTGTAAGACTCACCGGCCACAGGGAATCTGGAGCCAGGGGATCCAGGTGAGACCCGGTGGTTTCGCCTTGCTGTTGGGGTTGGAGAGGGGTCAGCCCCGAGATCAGATTCCTTTCTGGGCCAGATCAGCTCACCAGGCCCCAGCGGTCTCACTATCTATGACAACTGGATCCGGTACATCAACCGTAGCAGCCCAGTGTATGGCGTGATCCCCAGGTGAGACTAGAGCCCAGACAGCACCCTCCTCCGCCAGATGGGGCGGCCTTGCGCCCCCAATGTCACCCCTTTCCTTTCCGCAGTATTGGCACGCTGGGTGCTGGCAGTGACTATGCGCCCTTCGTTCACTTCCTGGGCATCTCTTCCATGGACCTTGCCTACACCTATGACCGGGTGAGCGGCACCCCGAGTAGCCCCCTCCAGTCCTGCGGGCTGCAGGACCTACTTCTTCTGACTCAGTACCCGTGATACCTAGGCCAAGTTTCTGACCCTCTTTGATCATGTGTTCACCCTCTTGTGTTACCACGTGTAGGGCACTACTGGTTATAAGATGCGCTATTGTGTTATGGGTTATTTAGGATGAAAAACACCCGATGCCAAGATACTGGCTATAAGAAACACCAAAATCTTACAACATGGTGTGTGTGTGTGGGGGTGAATTTTATCTGAGCATTTATTAAACATCTGTGTGGAATTAGGCAGATTTAGGGACTGGCGTGGGGTGCAATGAGATGAGGGATCCAGTGTGCCCAGCTTGTGTCCCTATTTGCTGCTCCCCAAATCCCTTTCTCCCCCTTGTGGTCACACTGCTTCTTGGTTGTGGAGCTGGAATTAAAAGTCCCCCCGAGTCCAGTTTCAGCTGCTTCTTCCTATGCAAAGGTACTCAACCCAGCTCTACCTCTTATTAACCAGGCAGGCAAATCTGAGCCTGTTTCCTCCTCTGTAAGGTGGGAATTCCAGAAACCCCCTCGTGGATGTGCCAAGGACTCAGGGAGACGCTGTCTGCACACTGCGGCTCACTGTGGGCACTTTGCACCTCCCACCCCAAGCCCCTCACCTCTGTGCTTTGTTCTCCCAGAGCAAGACCTCGGCCCGGATCTACCCCACCTACCACACAGCCTTCGACACCTTGGAATACGTGGAGAAGTTTGTTGACCCTGGTGAGGAGAGGACAAGGGGCATCCTGAGGCAGCCTGAGAAGGACGGACTGCAGACTGAGTGCTGGCCTCTTTGTCCTCCCGACAGACTTCAGCAGCCACCAAGCCGTGGCCCGGGTGGCAGGAAGTGTGCTTCTTCGACTCAGTGACAGCTTCTTTCTGCCCCTCAAAGTCAGTGACTACAGCGAAACCCTCCAAAGCTTCCTGCAGGCCGCCCAGCAAGATCTCAGCGCCCTCTTGGAGCAGCACAGCATCAGTCTGGGTACAGACAACCCCTTAGCTCCCACACACAGAGGCCTGGGAGCCCTGTATCCCCAAGGCTAAGCCAGTGGGTGGGTGTTCCCCTCAGGGCCTCTGGTGACTGCAGTGGAGAAGTTTGAGGCAGCAGCTACAGGCCTGGGCCAGCGCATTTCAGACCTGCAGAAGGGCAGCCCTGAGTAAGTGACAGCGGTGGGCAGGTGTCAGGGAGGGCTCAGGTGCTGCAGGCTGCTGGGTGACCAGGAGGTCCTGTCTCGCCCAGCCCCCTGCAGGTCCGGATGGTCAACGACCAGCTGATGCTCTTGGAACGGGCCTTCCTGAACCCACGTGCCTTCCCTGAGGAACGCTACTACAGGTGAGCCTGTCCCAAAGCTCCTGAGGTGCAGCTGGATGGTGGCTACCTGCCTGAGGGAGGATGTCAGGTATACTGCATTAGAGCACAGTCCAGCTGCTGAGAGTTAGGCTCAGGGAGGGGAGGCACACTGGTCCCAGCTGGGACTACAGCCTACCTGTCCTCCTAGCACCTCTGCTGTAAGCCCCATTGTCAGAGACAAGTGGAAGGGACTTTTGTCAGCTGAGGGTGTCCCAGGCTGAACCCCACCCTAACCCTCATCCTGCCCCTTTTCTCATCAGCCATGTGCTCTGGGCACCCCGGACAGGCTCTGTTGCCACATTTCCCGGCCTGGCCAATGCCTGCTCCAGGGCCAACAACACCAACCTCGGATCTGAAGAATGGGCTGAGGTGCACAGGCAGCTCAGCATTGTGGTGGCAGCCCTGGAGGGTGCAGCAGACACCCTGAGGCCTGTGGATGACCTCTGACCCCAGCCTTTTCTCCTAACCCTCTCCCACCTGTTTTCATGGGGTGTCTCCTCTGTGGCCAGGAATGGATACAACCATGGCATCCTCTCGAGCTTTTGAGGCAATAGCTGGGAGTTCCACCAGCTGTGGACACCCGAAAAGTACCCAGGTCCAGATGAGTTTCTCTTTGTGGGCACAGTGCACAGACGGGTGGTGGGCGGGTAAGATGGGATGTACAAGGCCAGGCATGGTGGCACACACCTATAATCCCAGCACTTGTGAGGCTGAGGCAGGAGGATCTTTGCGAGTTCAAGACCAGCCTGGGCTACAAAGTGAGCTCAAGGCCAGCCTGAACTATGTAGTGAGACCCTGTCTCAAAAAGACAAAAAAATTTGGGATGTACAATGTCAGCCCTAGATGCCAACTCCGACCACGACGTCCTCTCTTCAGGTATCAGCAGGGTGGAGAGGACCCTGCCAGGTCTGCTTTCCCTTTCCCTCATGTTTGGTGTCATCTCCCCTCTGTGCACCCCAAGTAAACAAAATCTACTGATTAGTCCCTATAAAACAAGTTCATTTTATTGTCCAGGAATCATGAAAACAGAAACCTAATTGCTTTGACCCAGTCCTCTAGGAGAGGTACATCTCCCACATGTGGGGGATGCTGGTCTGTGCACCACCTCATCCTGCTCCTCAGTCATGACCACTTCCTCCAGGGTGCGCCCCTGGAGCTTGCTTCCCACTAACACGTGGCAGGTTCCTGCAGGCGGGAGCCCTTCCTCAGCATAGTGACCCCTCAGGAACACAACCCTCTCCCCTCCATCCAAGGGCAGTCTGTGGGCCTGGCACAGGTCTCGCGCTTCGTGGAGCCCATCCAGGGCCAGCAGGTGGACCATGAAGCTCAGAGGCAAAGTCTGCCCCTTGGAGGTACTCAGGGCATGAGTGAGGCGGGCGAGGGCGAGGCGGCGGGCATGGCCCACATGGCCCTGCACAGCACAGCTTTGCAGGTAGGGCAGGCTCCGGAGCAGGCGGAACAGGCGGGCAGTGTTGCCCTCTCGGAATGCTGAATCCACAGTGAGGGCCATGCGCAGGGCTGGACAGGCACGCAGGGCGGCAGGCAGTTGAAGGACCTCTCGCAGGGCTTCTGTGGAGCCTGCGAGGATGGGAAGCTGGCTTGAGGATGCCGTGGCCTTCTTGGGTTTCCTACTGCTCCGTTGCCCTGCACCCAGCTTGGGAGCTGGCTGTGCCACACCTTGTCCTCTCTGCTAGGGAAGGCCATATCTTGAAGAGACTCTACTTTGGCTTCCTTTGCAGGATATCAGACACTGTAACCTTGGGCCACTTTTGCACAATGAGGTTTTTGACCCAATAGTGAGCTGTGAAATCAGCATAGTATGACACCTAAAACAATTTACAAGCTGGGCATGGTAGCGAGTTTGAGCCAGCCTGGGCTACAGTCAATTCAAGGCCAGCCTGAACTACGTAAGTGAGCCCCTGTATCAAAAACCAAATGAACAAAAAGTTTGAAAATCACTATTTAGACCAATTTTTTTTTTTTTTTTTTTGTCTTTTTGAGACAGGGTCTCGATATGCAGTTCTGGCTGGCCTTGAGCTCACTTTGTAGCCCAGGCTGGTTTCAAACTCGCAAGGATCCTCCTGCCTCAGCCTCCAGAGTGCTGGGATTACAGGAATGCGCCACCACGCCCGGCTTTTTTTTTTTTTTTTTTTTTTTTGTACGGGGAATCAAACTGAGGACCTCGGGCCTGCCAGGCAGGCCCTGCAGCACTGAGCTAAATCCCCAGACTTTAGGCCAATTTTCTTGCCTTGCCCCCTCCACTTTTATTATTAAGAAAACCAAGCCTAGAATTGGGCAAGGGCAGGGCTGAGGTCTCAAGTGGCAGCTCGGTGGACCCCGGGCACTAACTTTCCTGGGAGGGCGCAAATGGTATTTTTCTTTTCCTTCCTTCTCTCTTTTGGTTGTGCTGCTGAGCAACATCACCAAAGCCGAAAGGGTGAGGTTGAGGTGTTGGTTTTGGTACTAGGGATTGAACATGCAGCCTTCACATTGAGCTACATCCCCAGTCCTTTTATTTTGAGGCAGGGTTTCACGAAGTCACTAAATTGCCTGTGCCGGCCTTGAACTTGAAATCCTCCGGCCTCAGCCTCCCAGACTGCTGGACTTAAAATGTACCACATGCCCGGGGAATGGTTAGATTTTAAAGCTTTTTCCTTCCACTGCCTCCACTGTCCTCATGGAGGGCTCCCCACCCCCACATGCAAGGACCCGACTCACCCAAATTATAGAGCAGAAAGAGACCCTGGAAGGTGGCCTGGCGGGGGTGAGGGCCTCCGCTCTGCGCGTAGCAGCGCCGCAGAGAACCGAAGCTCTCCTGCACCTGGGTCTGCAGCAGCACTGCGTCCAGGGGCCCGCGTGCCCCGTCCGGCCCGAGCCGCGCCACCACGGCCAGCAGCGTGGCCAGCGCGGTCTCCAGCACCATCGCC